AGTTTGTAATACACCCTTAATTATTCTTGGGCCCCATCATTTGCGACTTTCTGACCTTGGAAATCTCGAACGCGAAGTAACAACAAGGTCACTCAAAGGCAGTGTCTTACAAATATGGCGCCACTGCTTCTGATCGAGTGTCTTTGTTTCTAATTCATCGTGCTAGTAAGACTAAGGGATGCCGTGGATGAAACGGTTCTGCCCGCGGCGTTGAGCCGGAACTCTTCTAAGCTCCGCCTCGCTCGCTTGAGCTCGCTCCAGGGAACATCTTGGAAGACACGAACCAGATCGATTTCATTTTGAAAACGAGTAGTCGAAAGCAACGCTGCTTCCACCTCATCAACAGAGTTTATCACAACCCGAAGAAGCCTGGTTTCGCCAAAATGCATGGAATTCGGGTGGCGTGTGATCCTCCTCAATTTGGAGGATTTAGTCAGAATACCTAGGAAGTTATCTATGGCATTCCAATGGTTCAGATCATTCACGTGTTTCCCTTTCAAAGAATTTGATCTTGGCTCGGGAACGTTAGCACATATTATAGATAGGGCATCCAGTTGTTTCGGAGTGTCTTTCTTGGGAGTATAAACCGTAGTTGGGAGACCTGGAGATTTGCTGTGCATTCGTGCAGCGTTGACTTTCAGATTAGTAACATGTCTGGTTGTAGAAACAGTAGCGTCTAAGTTTGTTGTGCACTTTGATGCAAAAACGGCCCAGCTGCCCCTGGAATTTCATGCTTCCTGGGTTTCGGCGATGTCTGGTGAGAGGAAGTGGGTTTGGGGAAAATTGTTGTATATGGGCTGGTGGTTAGGTGTTCGGGAACGCTTGGGCGATTTGGATTATTGACAGTGCAATTTTATTAGTGTAGCATCCGGCGTTGTTGAGTTGGCTTACAGTGGAGTCAGGCGGAGGGGACTGTGTCAGACATTCTGCTATGCTTCTTCATACCGAAGCTATTTTGGTGCCAAGCATCTTCACAACTACGTCTGTAGCTCATTCATACGTCTAGGACCGTGTAAATGCGACTTTAGCAAGAACCCAAATGAGTCAGGCCTGCTGCTGATCAACCTGCACTCGCTTGGTGTGATTTTCCCGCATTTCGCATAGAAATTGGTTTGGCAATTTCCACAGAATATTCCTATATTGACCATCTTATTGCACCTTGCACAGGCGCCTTTAGGCTCCGCGGCTCGGTTTGTTGCACTCGTCAGGGCACGTGAACGTGTGGTGGTTACTTCTACCCAGGACCCTGAATTGATTGATCCAGCGTCAAGTCAGCCTGCTGAGACAGTGGATGTCTCAATATTTCACTCTTGTGGCTACGTGCAGATAGTGGGACTCAGCTATTTACACAAAAGCACATGAATATGCAGCTTTGCACGACGACGCGCGCGGGACGTTGGCAAAGTACCCCAAGTGCCTTGGGCGCGATATTTAGTAGGTGAATGATACAAAATGTCTCGTAAGTTTGTTACGCTGCTACCTGTAGGGATGGTTGCAGGGTTATTTGAGAGTCCTCGGCTTCTTCTACCGAATGAGACCAAAATTATGCATGAAAGCTTCAGGAGTGATGTGGTTTCACAAGCAGAACTCGATGAAGAACTCGATGAAACAGAAAACGGGAGTACCAGTATGATCCACAGGGCGTACTGGTTCGAACGAGTACACTCACAACAATGTGTGTGGAGAACTGGAGTGACCACAACGAGTGAAGCGAGAGCCAAAATAAAGTACGACCATACGGCAGTCAGCTTGGTGTGGAGAAGAAATCTTTGGTCTTACTTACCGACAAATTGGACTAAAACAGCTTTGCGCGTAACTCAAGAAGTAGTAGGCATTTGAAAATACACAAATTATGAATAAAGAAACTCGGAAGTAATGTTATTGGGAATTCATCGCAGTAGTTGGCAATCTACTTTAAAAGTTGCTACGATGTATCCTTAGCAAGATAAGTTTACAGTAACACATTCTCTTGTCAGTATTATATCCCCCAAGCACCTAGAGTGTAGTATATGTTGTAACTTGAACTTTAGTGGCAACGCTAGTAAATAAAACATGAGTGTAGTCACGAAATTCCACAATCAGGGGTCAAGATTATCAAATTATCCGGTCCTACAGAAGTAACTTTTATACCGTGCCCAATGCATATATTGAACCATCTCATACGTTTTGAACCTGCCTTAAGCACAGTCGCTTTAGCGGTCCCAGTGACTAACAGTTGTTCTCTCTAAGCTGAATCCTCCACGGTTTCACAGACAACACTTTAAGCGTCAGCTGAGATCAGTAACAACCGATGGGGCTATTGAAACTGCTGGATTTTTTCATCTCTTAAAGCGTGTTAAATTTCCTGCTCGTGAAATAGCATCTACTAAAGTAGATCGATGGGTTCAACCGCTGAATTCGTTCCGTTTTGCTAGGTAATTCTTATATGCTTGACGCGCCATCCCGATGAGTTTCAACACATTCCAACACACAATAGCATGCACGACGGCGATCAGTAAGCAATTGTAAACCACGTGGTTCTAAACGGTAACGTGAGCAACACTGGGTTAAGATGATTCTCCTGTGATGTCTAGCCTCGTTGTCACATTTTCTTCGTTTGTATGCGTTAAATTTCGGTAGCAATGTATAATTCCTCAGCCTGCGTTTGTCACAAAAAGCCCCTATCATCACTGATAAATATGAATTTAGTCAAGCATTGCGCTCTATATATAATCTGTAATGTGTATACCGATAGAAATTCAGCCGTAAATTCCTGCCTTTTTTCTAAGTATAGATGCATAGTTTTCTTGAATGTCAGGGTAAGCGAACACATGATTTCAATAATTCATCTTCAGGCTTATACAATTATATACAAATCGAAATGTGCAGAGACATTACAAGTCGTTACTACTAGGGGGAGTTAATTGGAT